AGCGCGCAGCAACAAATCCTGTCGTGTGGAAATATAATCCTCTGAGTGAATGGGGAAGTTAGCGTTTTGTGGCGGAAAAATACCTTGGGGGTGAAGCACATCAAAATGCATGGTATCAAATATGGCATTAAAAAAAACAAGCACTTAACAGAGTTTGGCTATATCAAGGCTCAATGGAGGAAAAAAAAGGACATCCAGAGTGGCCAGATAGCAGCGCACAACTACCAACACTCACCCAGATTAGCATCACGGTGAGAAAGCTAAGCAAATATCCCGAGTGTAGAAGCAAACCCTGATCCACCTAAAAAGCAGGGACTCGGTTCGATTGAAGTAAACTCCGACGCAGTGTGAATTCAGTGTGAATGCAAGCGGAGAAGAGACTGCTCCAAAAGCAGGAGGGCATTCTGGTCACTATGTCACTCTCTGCCTGTGGGTCAACGGAGGTGGTGTGCCAGTTGCCATGACAACGGGTCTGCATGTAGAGTAAAACTGACTCAGAAAGCAAGGAAAAGCACAATATGAGTGATTTAAATTTGTTTTACACCCATTTATCAGTGTACTTTCCCTGTTCTGTGGTGGACTACAGCCGCTGTAATTTTTAAATCTTCAATAAACAGCAAAAATTGACTAATTGCCTTGTTTGTAGAATGTGACAATATTCATTACAATCATCAATTAGGATGAAATATTTCACAAAGTATAGAAGTCATGCTTTACTAAATTTTAACTAGCAGCAATTATGTAATATGTAAAAATATGTATTCTCTCTGGATATAATTCTATAAACACTTTGGTTTCTGTCAAAATGCAAGAAAGGACTAAGCAAATTTCTCTTTTATATTGGTCAATTTAATATCAAAATATCAGCAATTTGCTCAGGTTTAGTTTAAGCCACATTTTATAGAAATCGGGTAAGGAATAAGGGCGCTACAACCATCTTTGTGACAGATTCCTGCTCATTCCGAATTGGAACATTGTGGTTTTGTGGACATGACTAAATGACTCATAGTAATGACACCTGCAGGAGTGCTGTGTTAGCATTAGCGGTTAATAATCCCATCACTGGCACTGTGATGTAGTTAGTTATTTTAACAAACTACAGCTGGTTAGTTAAAATAACCAGATGTAGTTATAATATATTAATCACAGATGGGTTGGCATGAGGTAAACTGTTTCAGTCACCACTGGTTGGCGTCAGCTGCTTTGCCACTGAAATAACTCAGCTATAGTTTCTCAATAACTGGACCACATCACCACCTATTTAGCTTGTAAATATTTTTATGCTACATTAAACAGATAACACCAAGGATATTATAGACAGAGCAAACTTGAAGCCTTGAACACTTACAATGGTTCAGGAAGTTCTGTGCAATTGTGATATTGGAATATCAAATGTGCGCTATATTAATCAGCCCTACTGTCATGGCACAATTCTTTCACCAGATTGTTTGAAGCAGTGTCAACAAAAAAAGTTGATGGTAAGTAAGCACAGAATTGGCACATAATCAGGGTAGTGAAAAAGTGTAGTAGTTGAACGGAAGAAATTGAAACCCAAAATTCTGGAGTAAAAAAACAAAAAACAGAAAGTCAAACTGACAATGGATTTGAGAGCAAGAAGTTAGTTACCAATCTCTTTGGCTGCCTGAATAAGGGTCTTCAGTTCCTCACTGGCAGCTTGCTGCTTAGCTTTATCCTGATGCTCAGAACAAAAATGGACAATCTTCTGCCATGTCAGGCCTTCCCTGGCAAACAGCTCTTGTCTCTTTATACGCTTGGCCTGGAACAAAAGAAAAAATAATTACACTCCAAATAAAGAGAACAGAATTCATCGAACTGCAGGAGACCCAAATAACCCGCACCTGACTTACAACATATAGCTGGAAAAATCTAGTATATGAAGTCCAAAAATATGAATATGCTACAAAAGTCTGGGTAACACTTTATTTGAAGGGGGGTGAATAAGACTGTCATGACACTTTCATAAACATGACATAACACCTGTCATGAACATCAATAAGCCTTCATGAATATTTATGACTGTTGTCATAAAGCGTCATTCGGTAAATAATGACACTTTTAATACAAAGTTGACATTATTCAAAATGTCTTTGTTATGACAACTTGACATTAACCAAGAAATCATTACTGTTTAAACTTTACCTTTAAAAACATAAAGTTACCTATTTTTTAAAGTGCAATCAGTAATACTTTTATAACAAATTTATATCAGCAATTTATATCCAGCCAGCGAACCATTTCGCCACCCAGTGGTCCTTTTTCAGACCACTTAGTCTCCTGTACCGCTCAAAAATGCATAATATGTCTATAAATAATTTTAGGATATTAAAAGGAAGAGCTGATATATTCCGTTTTCCACGAACTAAAATATTTGCCACTTCGGCACAAGCACAGTGAGAAACGTCAGAGGATAAAAACACTAGACTCAGAGCAAAACTCAGATGTCCCAGCTTTTACTAGCATGTAAACGCACCATCTACACAAATCTGGGAGCTTCCCGGAAGCGTGAAATGAGTCTCAAAAATAGTTGTGCACTCGTAACCGTATCTGTGTGTAAATGCAGTTTTGTGTGTGCGTACCAGGTGATTTGTGTGTACTTTTTCAACATGTATAGGCGTAGGAGAAGGTTTATTTTATACTGCTCAAAAAAATAAAGGGAACATTTCACTTTAATTTTGTGTGTGGCTCCAAATCCAGGCCTCCATTGGTTAATAAATTTGATTTCCATTGATGATTTTTGTGTGATTTTGTTGTCAGCACATTCAACTTTGTACAGAACAAAGTATTCAATGAGAATATTTCATTCATTCAGATCTAGGATGTGTTATTTGAGTGTTCCCTTTATTTTTTTGAGTAGTATATATATCTGATATATGATGCTCTGATCTTTTGAGCAATGTATTTTTAAGGTTTACAAATCCAGTATTACACACGCACAGATATTTTTACACACACACAAATCTTTTTACACACGCACAGAAAGAAAATGTTGGTCAGAATGTTTGTGAAAATATTTTACAAAATGTTGATAGAAATGCTTATTTATTGCTATTGAATTTTACTGTAAAATATTTATTATACTTTTGAAATAACTGGTTTAAAGGGGTAGAAATTTGATTATTCACAATGTATTTATCTTGTTAATTTCAGAATGTAATAGATGTGTTTCTGTTTCTTTTTAGGTTTTTCACCTATGGGCTACATCCTATGGGCTATGTGGACCATCATACAAAAAATAAAGATGAGTCAACTAAATTAAAGGCTCTTTGAGTGAAATCCAGTTCAAACTTCACAGTGGAAACTATCCCTTTCAAGTGAGGAATAGCACAGTAAACCTAACCTGAGAAACTTGACAATTGTACATACTGTAGTTTATATGTCATCAAACTCCTA